TATTTCATACATAAAAAAAAATTATTATTAATCAAAAGAACCATATTCAGAAGTTCCTGTTGTTTTTTCGTCCGACTCATCGGTATTATCCTGCTCTTCGTCATTATTGTCTGCAAGTTCTTCAACTACTCCTTCTTCGGCTATTAACTTTCCAACCTCAATCGTGTCTTCAATTTGAAGAATGCCTTGATCGACATCTTGAAGCGGGATTTATTCATCATTTTCTTCTTGAATAATAGTTCCCCTGGGGTTGATCTTCACGACGGCTCGCCAATCAATGTCTGACCTTCTTGTAATTTTCTTCGGATAAGGGATGTAACACACTTGATCTGCTTGAGAAGCCAATATAAAAGGATCATATTTTCCGTATCGACGTGTGTAACATATGTCAAAAACACCTGTTTTGTTGACTCTGATCCCTCGCATGGGTGTAGGATCAAACCAATCACACCTGAACATCATCACTTTGAGTCCAAAATGACCTGCATATTGGAGTTCAAAAATCTGCTGCAGTAGTCCGTAAAAATCGGGTTCATTATCAGATGCACAGCACTCTGACCCTTTCACACAAACACCAAAATTATGTGTCGAACGATGTTGTCCGTGTTCATGTGTGTGGAAAACGTAGCCTCTGGTAAAAAATATAGGCCAACATGTAACACGACAAATGGGCCCTTGAACTAGCTCATGCAACTACAATGGATGATCTTCTGGTGACGTTCGAATCTGCAAAACAAAGAAAAAATAGGTTGTTTAAATATCAATATATACTTGATCGATCTTAAAAATTGGTTTAAATAAGAAATTTGATGCAAAATTCTTACATATTCTTTTAACCATGTAGCAAACCCTTTTTCTTTAATTTTGGTAAATTCCTCGTCATTTACGTCACCATACATGTTGTATACTTGTTCATCAAAAATCCTGCAAAATAAAATGAAAAAAACTTGTAAATGAATTAATATCAAAAAATTGTACGCCATAAATAATTAAATGTATAAACGAACCTTTCAAAAGGTAGAACTTCTTCGCAATTCAACAATACAAAAGTATGTACCACATGATAGTATTTTTCAGATAAGTAGGCGTTGAGCACGCCTCAAGGACATCATTTATCGGGTAAAGAGCAGACGCGTACGACCTGCATGGATGTCGACGGCGATCTATTTTCTGTAAAATATATGGGGAATATTTGCATTCGTCGGATAACTAGGGCCATCATCGCAATGGGATGATTTTCTTATACTTCTGCTTTTTGTTGCCACATTATCTTCAAAATAATATGAGGTAAAGAATGATATTTCCTCATTGATATATTGTTCAGCAATTGATCCTTCAACAAAGGCTTTTTGTTTTGCCTTTTTCTTCAAATGGTACATAAATATTCAAACGGGTACATCCACCTAAAAAAAAAAAATAAACAATCATCAGTTATATATGTAAACAAGTATGCATATATATGTCTTATATATTAATTAAACGAAACACAGTAATTAATTATAACATACCGAAATTGAACTGGTCCACCAAGTTCTGCTTCTCGTGGTAGATGGATTGGTAAATGTTCCATCACATCAAAAAATGACGGTGGAAATATTTTTTCCAGATTGCAAATTACGAGAACTATGTTTTGTTTCAGCATGGTGAAACCTCTACAAGTTTAAGCGTCCGACTGCAAATCACCCGAAAAAATGAGCTGATCCCTACACAATAACCACGTATCAACTTTATATATATATAGTTCACATATTAAAAAACAACATTAAAAAAATATATTGACATACCTGATAGACTCTCGTGTACATGTTGTGGAAGTAGTTCTGCAAATGCTATTGGAAGCAATCGTTGCATAAAGACATGACAATCATGACTTTTCATACCCGTTAATTTATTCCCTGCAATATCAACACATCGCGCCAGATTTGAAGAGTAACCATCGGGGAATTTCACATCATCCTTCAACCACCGAAAAAAATTCTTCTGCGCTTCTCCAAATACACGAAAAACTGGAACCGGTGCTTTCCCATCTTCTGTAAGTTCCAACTCCTTCCTCAAACAAATTGATTTTATATCCTTCCTTGAGTTTGGATTGTCCTTCGACTTTTGAGGTACATTCAACACCGTGTTTATGATGTTATCGAAAAAGTTCTTCTCGATATGCATGACATCAAGATTGTGTCGCAACTTATGGCAATTCCCAAAATATACTTTTTTTGTGCCAATTATGATATTTGCCATATCCTTGAATCGGCAAATGACCATTTCCACCGACTTCTGCAGTAACCCCTAACCCATATGATCTCACACAATCATCAATCCGTTCGAATAATATTTCATCTCCCGTCAGTTCAAGCGGACTAGAATCACTTACAACGCGATTCTTACGAAAATTCTTCTTGTTTCGGCGCAATGCATGATTCCTTGGTAAGAAACGACGATGACAATCAAACCAACTCGTTTTTCTCCCGTTCGGCAACCAAAATGCGTCGGTCTCATCCATACAGTACGGACAAGCTAACCGACCATGCGTTGTCCAACCAGACAACATCGAGTATGCTGGAAAATCACTAATTGTCCACATCAGTACGGCACGAAGCAAAAAATTTTGCTTTATTGACACGTCATATGCCTCAACCCCAATACTCCAAAGGTCTTTCAACTCTTCTATCAACGGTTGAAGGAAAATATCCAAACTCCTCCTAGGATGTTTAGGTCCCGGAACTAATATTGAGAGAAATAAAAATTCTCTATTCATACACATGTCCGGAGGTAAATTGTAGGGTGTTAAAATCACCGGCCATAGAGAATAATTTGGACCAGACATCCCAAATGGATTAAATCCATCCGTGCATAATGCTAGATATACGTTTCTAGTCTCACTTGCAAAATCAGGAAATACCTGTTGAAAGTGTTTCCATGCTAAACCATCAGATGGGTGATGCATTTCTCCATCAGCCGTCGAATTCTCGCCATGCCATCGCATAAATGATGCTGTCTTTTCGGATTGATATAACCTTTTCAAACGATCTGTTATAGGCATATAAAACATTCTCTTCAAAGGAATTAACTTGCCTTTCTTTGAAGTTTTCCGGCGTGGTCGATATCTGTCTTTCCCGCAGAAACGACATTCCATCAATTCTGCATCTTCTTTCCAAAAAATCATACAGTTGTCTTCACAAACATCAATCTTCCGGTAAGGTAGTCCCAACGTACGCATCAGACTCTTCGTCTCATAATATGATTCTGTTGCAGTGTTACCTTCCGGAAGATACTGTTTAAACATCTGACTGAAACCATCCATACATCTCTCCGGAATATTGTAGTCAGTCTTCATATTCATCAATTGTGAAGATAATGATAATCTTGACAGCCCTTGTACGCAACCTTTATATATCGGAGTGTTCGCAGTGTTAAGCATATCATAAAATCTTTTCGCTTCAACATTTGGCTCTTCTTCCATATATGGAGAAGGAGCAACGTTGGGAAATGCATCATTCAACATCTCTGCATATAGATTTCGGTCTTGATCTTCTTGAAAGATCGGAGGTAGCGACGTGTTTTCCACAAGTTGTTCTTGCATTTGTGAAACACGTGATGATGACGACGTATCATACGTTTCTCCATGAGCCAACCAAACATAATAGTTTGACATAAAACCTCTTCTATAAAGGTGCTTACACACTTCATACTGACTTCGCCATCTTTTATTCTCGCATTTTGAGCACAGAGATGGTAACTTCGAACTCTCAATGTACGACGTTTGACTTGTTGCAAACGCCATAAAATGTTGTAATCCTTAAGCAAACTCACTCGAGATTTGATTAGAAGAATCAAATCTATTATACATCCACATTCTGGATGAAAAAGACATTTTTTTGTAAATAATTTTTTTTTTCGTTAACAATTTTTTTTTCCTATCTATGCATGCTCATCGCGCGGCGGATATATAGGAGG